AGAAGTCGTTACGTCACGTTGTCATGGTAGGAAACTTTCTGGTTCTCAACAAAACGTTGTACTGCAAATATTGCAGAAAAAAAGAAAAAATTGACATGTATGACTTTTCTGTGTCTGACTGCACTCAGGAACAAAACGGTATCCACCATCCACCCACTCCCACTGTTCGAAAAAGCAAATGGCCGTCTGTGTCAAGAAAGAGTGTTGAGACCCAGAAATCTTGCTACTATAGTAACATGACGTCACACTTCTCTCCATTTCTCAAGGGGTTTAAGGCCTGGGTCAGAGGTGGGTTCGGAGCATGTGATTGAATGACAATATCTCTCGCTAAGAGACCAAGAACAAATTGAAATTTTTTCCCAAAGTAAATCTTGTGGTCTTCTTGCGCCTTAACTTTTAATTATGGTCACATAAAGGCATGCTACGTGACCAAAAATTGAAAATGAAGGGATTGGCGAATTTACTTTGTTTGGGTAAATAAATTGGCTTTTCTCATAGAAGATAAACACACCTAACTTTGCACGTTTAGAACGAACGTACGCGAAGTTTAAAATTAAAGTGTTGAATAATTCAAGGTTAATTAGGGCATTTAAAATGATGTTTTCCGTCGTAATTTTTATTGAAGTGCAATGGACGGTCATTCCAAGCGAGAAATATCAGAAATATTTAATATAAATGAGAAAACTGTTATCGCTCGATTTCTTTTCTTAAACCCGCCACCAATTTGTCAGCTTTTTAAGATTTTTAGCAAAATGGTTACGTGACACATCACGTGACTTATTAACAGACTATTTATACTTTAAAATCATAAGGACGATGAGTTCTTTATGTGCGGCAAATTTTGTTTCAGGTCCATTATCTGAGCCAAAGCTATAGCCAATAAATCATTTTCCCAGTAAATCTACTAGACCCAGGCCTTAAACTACTTGAGATTTTTTTTCTCTGAAGATATTGTTTCATTAAGAATTTTCGTATGACTATGGTCCTGTAAAGATTGGCCTGCGAGGAAGTTCTCTACGGAGGAATATGGTGAGAAATCACTCCAAGACACTGCTTGCTCGTACGTAAAGATTGGTTCAACGCCGCATCTTTTAGAAGGGTGGAGTCCTTAAAATACGAGCGGTAGTAGGTGATGAAAAGTTTTTGCTGACAAAATTGTGAGCGGCTTGCTTCAGGTTAAGGAATAATTGAAAGAGAGTAAGCTACTATATGAGAATAGCTGATTGACTTAACTTTCCTGCCATTTGCCAAAGTTTACCTAGTTTATAATCATATTTGCAACAATTTCTAGTGCATAGTGGTATTTTGCAAGAAACTACGCTGTTTTCAAAGCAATAGCACATAAAACAAAAGCGAATCTCGATTCAAATACTGATAACTCACATATTTTTTCTGTCCTAATATCTCGCGAACCATACTGTTTTCCTCCTCTGTTAATAAAACAGAAGGCGCATGTTTCTTTTTCGCAGCCATCGTTCTGCTTGACTGTTATTCGTGCTGTTATGTTTTCGTTTCTTTGTTGACGTCAGTTAACGTCGAATCGTGCGCGCGCAAGATCGTTGGAATGACAATTTTTGTTGAATAGACCTTATTCACGATACCTGCCATCTTTGCACTCGCTTAAAGACGAACGGGATACAAGCGATGTCACATGGTCTCTCAGGGCGATAAAAGCGATAAAAACTGCTAATACAAGAAATCGCGGTCGAGTGTCTTTATTCTAGACAACAGGAAATAAAGAAATTTTTCTCCTTAAGACGATAATGGCGAATTATGGGTGGAAGAGATCATTGTTACCTTTTGCATGCAGTAAACTATAATCATGTAAAACTTGTCAAAACTCGAAGTACTACATTTTGCATTGCTAAAATCTTCTTCTCGTTTGGCAAAACTGATAAAAAAATAGGTATTTTTTGGGTTATAGTTATGCAACATACGGACGTAAACTTGACTCAAATCTCCCTTTCACATTTTACTAACTTCTCGGAATGATCCAAAGAGTAACAGAGAAAAGGTAAAAATACTGAGAATGATATTCATGATGAGCCATTTCGAGGCTCTCATGCAGGCCGGAAAAGAACGCACATTAGCCCCGTAGTCAAATGCCTGAAACGATGGAAAGATAGACCACTCTCTTATCCTTTTCGTTTTCTTTCTTATTTTTTTCCCAGCAATATTCCTCCATAACTGACCATGAACGAAAGGACAGGTTAATAACTCGAGTACCATCTGTGCAATTGATCATAGATTTATCATGTCCTTTATGGGTATAGTTTTAAAATTACATGTCTTTGATATTTCCACAACAGAGAGCAGTATAGTAAAAGCCTATTTCATCACACGCAGAGAGCACATTTAATACTAACAATTTAAATCTCTTTAGTGATAATGGATGTTCAAAAGTTTTCATGTTTTCATTCTCTCATTCATTTGCATAATGGCTCAGTGCATGAAGAATCTGAAGAATACGAATCGTGTGACATGTGTGTGGCATAAAACATTGAAAGTGAAAAGTAAGCATCTCCAACCGCTTACTGGTAATTCTGATAAGTTTTTATTCCTACTGCAGCCCGTAATTTGTCAAAACAAAGTAATGGAGTCCAGCGATGGAAAGTCCAATAGCGACAGCCTCGTTCCCAGTCGTCGTCGGCGATTGGGATGTGACATCACCTGTCAAACTTGTCGGAAGAACTCGCGCTCCCCCGCTCATTCGGGCAGCGCGAACTGACTTGGAGACGAGGCTGCAGCAGCAAATGTTGTTTTATGATTTAGATTATCTACCTATATCAGTCCCTTCGCTTATCTCGTCAGATAGACCGATCCGAAAGACTATAGGCCAGGATTAATTTGCACGCTCCCTCTGTAACTCAACACAGATAGGACAACGGCGTTTGCTTGCCCTTGACGTAAACAACTAAGTATCTGCAGGTGTCCTTAACTTTTGATAAAAAAACTCGTAATATCCTTTCTCTTTGACAACATGCATGATATACATGATGAATTAGAGACCTGTCATTTAGTTAAAAGTCAAGTTTTTCTATTGGAAAGTATCTAAGTTGTATTTCAGAAAGTTTTGCTTCAAGTCGTGAAGATTTTCTGATTACATGTACTAAACAGCTTTTCTGAATTCAATCCGTCTGTTAACTTGAGAGATATATCAGTTTGTGAAACCTTGGTCACTTATTTCAATCAGGTACATTAGTTATCACCAGGTACATCCAACTAAAGGCACTGAAAACTGACAATTCTGTTTCAGTAGAAGGACCAGTGGAGTTAGACGGCTTGTAGGAAGGTTAACTTAATTACATGGATTGTTTAGTAACTTTACGTTTTAAGGCGCCACAGTATCCAAATTTTCAAGACGAAATATATCTAAAATTATCGACATTTACATTGTTAATCTTTTCATATCAAATGAGATATCCTCAAGATTCTCGTATTCAATTTACTCTAGCAATTCCCCAGTTTGCGTCCAGTGGAGTCAAAATAATGAGAAAAATAATCAAATGATTTTAAGGAAACGACAGTGATGTACAAACAAGTCACCCGCAGACCAACACGTTTCCTAAAACAAACAACAATGGCACGCTTCATGATTTACAATAGTTACATGGTCCACTGACGGGTTGAATGCAAACTCGAAAATAAACGTATAAAAGTATCTTTGCAGATGAATTTTAATTAAGTCGATTGAATACACCCATGATTTAATGTCATCATTTAAAGAGTGATTTACTTTTGTGAGTTAGCAATTTGATCGGCAAAAATCTTGAGCTGTAAGATTGGCCTGGGTCTTTGACCTGCTAAACAGGGGAAGAATTCATGCAATACTGACGCGGGCTAGATTAAAACATGGTAATTTTCCGCCTTTAGATTTTCAGAATTCCCAGAAGTTCAATGCTTTTAAATAAAGCGGACAGCGAACGCCTAGTTATAAAATTTTCAGTTTTTAACTCAGACGTGGTTCCTTGCTTGTTTGTTTGTTGGTAACTTATGGTTGAGCGCTTGCAAATAACCTACCACCAAATTCATTCTAAAGCAACTAAGAAACAATTGTTTCTAATTCTTTTCTATTGCTTTATTTCGTTTCTTCGTTTTGAAAGTCATAAAAGTAGTGACTATATGACGTTAAATAAACCAACCAAAAGAAGCCTGTTTAGCCACGTTCACCATGAGGCTATTGCATATACGATTAAAATTTAACACACCAGTGTTCCTCAAACGAGAAATATTAATATTGTTTTACTACCTTTTCTCCAAATATTTTTATTTTATGTGTAATCTGGAAGTGGAAATATCTAAATAAAGCTGGGATCCTTAAAACACGAATTAAAACCGTTTATATTGTAAGTGATATAAACTTTTCAAACTTGCCCCGGTAAATTGTTCTTCATATCTCTTGTAAGTGTTATGTTAAGGGCTGAACGTGTCGAGCTATTTGCCCTTTGGTCTTATGATTTTGACTTTCACCCTATGCTGAAACAAGGTCCTCTAGACTCCCCTGATCATGCTGAGCCAATTTTCTAAACGGGTCTTCGTTAGACGCGGTGATTTTAAAGTTTCTAACGCAGTGGCCGACAAGCTATCCGGTCTCCACATTGAAGTCCTCCCCACGACGTATCGATGGACTTTGAAATAATGATAACTCTTAAAAAAAAACCCTAATAACACTCAGAAGCTATTCAAACAAAGTAAAGAAAAGTAAAATTTACCCCAAACAGGGCGTAATTAGCCTTGAAATGTGTTTTTCTTTTCGAATTAGCGCTGAAGGACCAGTTGGTATTAGCCGAGCTGATTTCAATCTTCCATCGATCACTGGGCGGAATAACTGGTACCCTTATGAATATTACATAATTTACACAAAAGCGGCTAATTGCCTTTGTTGTTCACACGCTCTTCCCCTTTTATGGTCCAACAATAGTCATTCATGTTTGTATTCAAGAGAGGGAGTAACCTCTCTAGTCCGTTGTCGATTCTTTGGCTGAAAGTTCATGTGCATTATGAACCCTTACACTGACGAGGCGACATCGGCAATTGACCTAAACATTAGCTCATTGACCAGATTGCCTCAACCGCAAAGCTCTTGTGCGGAATATTCCGACGCCGATGACTCTCCTATCCTTCTAGAAAACGCCTTCTATTCGCCGGAAGACTGTTCGGAAAACGAGGACCTTTCGAGAACATCCAAGCCGTCTATTGAGTGCGTCGTCTGCGGAGACAAGTCATCCGGGAAGCATTACGGGGTCTTTACCTGCGAAGGCTGCAAGAGCTTTTTTAAGCGAAGCATCCGAAGGAATCTTTCGTACACATGTAGGGGGTTTAAAAACTGCCCAGTGGATATTCAACACAGAAACCACTGCCAGTATTGCAGACTGAAAAAATGCATGAAAGTTGGAATGAGGAAAGACGGTAAGCTTTGCCACTTAACATCACTTCTTTATTTGGCGATGAAAATTTTGACCCAAGCTGAAACTGTATAAACTGCTGGTTCGTGTATTATCATTTTTCCGTTGTATTGTCCGATAGCCTGGTAGTTAACTTTATCTGACCGGTACATCAGACAATAATGTTACGGAACAATGAAAGTAAATAACACCTAATTTTATCGTAATCGTAAAATAAATAAGTGCGGCAGCTTGTGTTGCTATAATAAAGCCACACTCTTCTCTAAACCCGTCCTGTATCTCAGCTCGTAGAACATCCCTTATATTAAGGAGCAAGAGCATAAGGCCTTCCGTACTACTATTTTTCCTCACCACGTATTAGCTACTACTGTAGGCCAACTTGCTTTATAGCTTTATGTGATTTATTGGGCAATTTCTATATGCTATTCTTTTATTCATGTTCGTGGTGATTAAAAAAACAACAAGAAAGAATAAAATCCTAATCAGGCGACTGAGACTGAACAAAAATCAATAAGTGGAAAAGAAAGTATTTCATTCATTCTCTTATTCATTCACTCATCCATTCATTCCCAGTTCTTCCTTCACTCATTCACTCCTTCTGTCCTTCATTCCGGTCATTCGCTCGTTCATTTCTTTGTACGTTCTGGAGAGCACCACCCATGACTTAACAAGACGAGTTGGGATAGATACGTTGGACCAAGAGTCATTCTCTCTTGGTTGGACAGAGAATCGTGGGTCACAATGTCCCAACAGGAGTCTAACCCGCGACCGGTCGCTTACTAATTTAGAATCTCCAGCGCACAGCAGCTGTTGGTAATAAATAGGAACACTTACAAAAGCATATGATTTCACAGAAATTCGTTTGTGACTGCGTTTACAGAGTTGGTCCTGATAAGAACGTGGTTTCCTACCCAGTCGTAGTAATTGAGCGCTTACCATTTGGAAAGGAAATTTCGGTAAAAAATTTCTGACAAATGGTACCTGACTTAAAAACGTCTCCGAAAAGAGAAATAGGTAAGAGTTGTATCATTTGCAAAACACCAGATAACGAGTGGGCCTGGGTTAAAACAAATCACCTTCCGCCTCAAAAGGAAGCCTGGCACTGGTTAACTCGACAAACGGTACAAATAATTTCGGTCGTTTCGGTAAAAACGGAAAACGTGTGATACCTCGAAAGGTATTACTTTTTTCCGGAAAATTTCTACCGGGATAAACCATACCATTTGAATTCTCCCCGGTATTACCGGCTTTTCCATACAAATGGTAAGCGCTCATTGTCATAGAAACTTTATTATCTTCGATGACATGGAGCCCAGTCTCCCTTAGGTATAAGACTTACGCAAATAACGATCGACTTAATTTACTGACTTTTGCTTTTGTCAACAGCTGTCCAGAAAGGCCGCATCTCAGCGGCGCAGCCTGACCTGGTCAGTTCTTTCCAAATGGGTCTAGGAGACATTCGCAATCCACAGTCCTTTTACTCAAGTTACATTACACTCCTACTCCGGGCAGACACCATCGCGCGCTACCAACAATCCCTAAGGATTCCCGCCAGCATTGCGGGACTGGAAAGCGCTTCAGAACTTGGTGCAAGATTGTTAGTTTCAATCGTAGAATGGGCAAAGAACATTCCCTTTTTCACTGAATTAACTCTCCCTGATCAGTCCATCTTATTGCGCTCATGCTGGAGTGAACTTTTTATACTAAGCACCGCACAACACTGCTCTCCATTTCACATGGCACAACCGCTGACCATTAGTGCCCTCACACCGCCGTCGAGCAGCGATTTGTTAGCGAGCAATAATGGATCAATGTCGTTTGATTTCGTTGAAAATTTCCAATTGTTTGAAGAACAAGTCGAAAAACTTAAAAACCTGCACATAGACTCCGCTGAGTTCTGTTGCCTAAAGGCTATAATTCTGTTTAACCCAGGTAAGTGCTTTTTAGGTCCGTATTTCTTCAATATTTTACTTCCATTTACTATATTGGGCTAACAAATTTCCTCTTTCAGATTAACCTCGGGATTCCGAAAAGGTTGATAATAACTGGGATCTAAATTTCAAATTGTGATTTGCTCAAGTAACTGTTTCATCCTTCTTTCGGAAGGAAAAGTGAAGGTGACCGTCTTCAGTTGGTCTCTGCAAAACTTAGACACTTATTTTGCCTTATTGAAGGTTATCTTCGTCTAGCATTCCTATGAGACGAAAAATTTGAACAAGAGCGGTTTTCAGCGAGCTGTAGAGGTGCAGTGAAATACAACAAAATTAATTTTGGGTTGAACAAGCTCTATTCGAGCTCCATTTCAGGGAGAAGCTGTTACACGTTAAGCACTAAAAATGTGGGGCTATGGTTGACAATCTCGAAGAAGTGGATTTTCCGAAAATTACACTTCAGAAAATCGTAGGGAATTTTCTAGATAAGGTTCGAAAATTTTACATGAATGGGATGGTCATCTAGACGTTTTTGGACTTCCTTAGAGGTATAGAAATTTCTAGGCAATTTTTGCTTCTCTTCTCCGAAAATATATTTTACAGAAGACTGTCGTTGGGTGCCCCTGGTGTAGTCTATCTATGAAAATCTATGGCACTTGTAGCCGGGAGTAAATCTTGACGAAGTGCCGGTTTAATAGAAGTGCAGATAACAAAAAATAGTTCTTATGAACCACGGAAAAGATGACAGCCACCTCTTAATTGAGATGACCGCTTAAAACGGTTTCAAAGACTTAAGTAAGTGATCGCTTGAAATAGGATTGCTTAATAAATGTTTGGCTGTATGTCTTTCAGATTCCCAGGGACTCGCTAACGCTGCGCACGTGGAAGGACTTCAAGAACGTACTCAGTGTGCCTTGGAAGATTGCATTCGTACGCAGTACCCAAACCAACCAACACGATTTGGCAAACTTCTTCTCAGGCTACCCTCCTTAAGGCTGATTCGTCCCGGAACGATGGAAGGGCTTTTTTTCCCGCCAATTAGCTTGGGAAACACAGTGGAAAATGCTCTGAACGAGCTGTTGGTTATGAATAGTCCTAGTAGTACTGCGCATGCCCATGTGCCTGCAAGCTCGCCAAACAGTTGGCCTGGCAATATGTTTCCTAATAATGTCCCTGACATAAACAGTATTAGTAGCGTGAATAGCGTGAACATGAATGGTGGTGCTGTGGTATAGAAAAAGTTGATATTCCTGTGCCAACAAAAGATTCCGTCGGAAACACGGATTTCAAAGATATGTTAGTTTGTGATTATGTGTATTAAGGAAAAAAGGATGATAATTGAAATTTAAGGTAATTTTTGGAACTTTTTTCTTTCTGTGTATAAAAATATTATTTTTTCGGACTTGTTAAAATTTCAATTTAATTTGTTTTACAAAATCTTCAACCAACTGACATATACTATGGTGCTTTGCATAAAATACTCTTTTCTGTCCTTAATTAGAGCAACTAACTTAAACATTAATTATGAACACATGTATCCCGAGAAAATCTACAATAGCATGAGCCTAACATTAGATAATGGACCTCCAGGTGAGCCATAATAGGTCCTATTATGGCTCTTGCTGGAAATGATTATTCCCTTATAAATGCAGTCAACGCCCAGAATAACGCTTTCTCTGATTATTATCTTCCTGTTAGTAAAAGCGTGCTGTTATAAGTAATTATTTTTTGAAAGAAGTGAACTTTTTTTCGTGAAAATTAACATGAGGACTGATGATGCGAACTAATACGCGGGTAATATATTTCTAAAACATGTCTGCATAAATGTTGCGTTGCATGCGGAAATTCACGCTGTTATCTTTTTTAACTCTCGCAACACAAACATTTTACACGCAGCTGTCGCCTCTACTTTCTCGCTACAGGCAAATTCGTCGCGCGTTGAGGAAGCATTGCGACGAACTGATAGGGTGCGACAACACCCGTTTCTCCTCCCTCTTCGCCCAGGAGAAACGGATGTTTTCACAGGCTACCCAGCTGTCGACAAATCCAGTAATCTCATTCAGATCGAAGTCTGTTAATTAGCGATGCAAGGTTCTCAGGGTATAGGTAACAAAAAGACCCCAAAATTTGATAGAAATACACTTTGTTTTTAAGCCATAATGTTTAAAATTTATTTAAGCCTACTGATTTTCTAAAGGGCTCGAATTATGTAAGAAAATAAATATTTACCTTTACAATTTTCAAACAAAATATTAGACCATTTAAAAAGTATTTAAAATATAGACAAAACTGTAGTATAGTTTCAAATGTGTCATTTAACTAACACAAATAAATTTCGGTTCAAAACGAACTGTACAAGTTGTGAAGAGTCCTTTATTTGCTTAATTTTCCGATTAAGACCCATCCTCCAGCCACAAAAGACAGAATTGTTGGGACATCAGTATGGGAAGCTTTCCCTCTCCCTGTAAAAACGAGGGAAACAGCTCGTGTTTGGAGATTTGGTGTCTGGTGTTTCAGAGCTTAAACTCGTGAAAGCCTCGTGTTTTGCTGGAGATGTGCTTGAAAATCCCTGGGTTTTTTTACAGCTTTGTAAGGTCTCGTGAAAGGCTTGTGTTTGGATATTTCTTGAAAATCCCTTTTTTTCGCAGCTAAGTAAATCTTGTGAAAGGCTCGTGTTTGGAGATTTTGTTGAAAATCGCTGGTTTTTTACAACTTTGCAAAGTCTCGTGAAAAGCTCATGTTTGCAGATTTTCTTGAAATTATCTCTGGTCTTTCGCTCATGAGCTATGTAAAGTCTCGTGAAAGGCTCGTGTTTGGATATTTTAGCTTATTTTGTTGAAAAAGAAAATCTTGTGAAAAACTCGTGTTTGGAGATTTTAATGAAAATCGCTGGTTTTTCACAGCTTTGCGAAGTCTCGTGAAACGCTCGTGTTTGGAGATTTCTTGAATGATCTCTGGTCTTTCGCAGCTATGTAAACAATGTAAAGTCTCGTGAAAGGCTTGTGTTTGGAGATTTTATTGAAATGATCTCTGGTCTTTCGAAACTTTGCAAAGTCTTGTGAAACGCTCGTGTTTGGAGATTTTCTTGAAATGTTCTCTGGTCTTTCGCAGCTATGTAAAGTCTCGTGAAAGGCACGTGTTTAGAGATATTCTTGAAAATCTCTGGTTATTTACAGCTCTAGTATCGCAAACGGCTCGTGTTTGTAGATATTTTTGAAAATCGCTGGTTTTTCACTTCTATGTGATGTCTCGTTACTAGCTTGCGGACAAAGACGTATTTCCATTAAGTTATTTTTCGGGTGGAGATCCAGAAGAGACGACCGGTAATACGTCTGTGTCCGCAGTTTATCTCGTTAACTTCTCGTGTTTGATTGAAGATACATGTATTCTTAGAAATCTCTGTTTTTTCATAATTATGAAAGCTAGGTGAATAGCTTGCGTTTGGTGATTGTCTAGAAAATCTCTGATTTTTCAAAGCCTTGTAGTTGGGGTCAGGTGGTTCGACCAGACCTCGTTTATAGGTCTCTCGCTCCAGGAAACTGGAACTGAGGCTGGGAACTGGAACGAGGCTGGGCTCAGCTTTGTTTGGTGTCTGGTGTAGGGTTAGGCACATTATGCTCGAAAATTTGATTATTATGCTGTTTAAGCGTCACTTTGAAAATTGTATCATTTTGCCGAAAATTATGCCGGTGTCGGCGGATTATGCTAAATCGACACTGGAGAAAGTCTGGTCCTTTTCCTGCCCCTGCCCAAACAAATTACCTCCAGACGTCAATAACACAGTGATTTTTAAATTTAAAATTTAAAAAATGTTGCTAGACAGTGCAATACAAGAACTTTATGAACTAACCAGGCCTCGAAACCAGTAACAAAGAGTTGGAATGAGCTTAATACTGAAAGAAGGCAGTTGGAAACCAATTATCCCCCAAATGGAGAGCCTGCTTGCAGGCTAAATCGCCATTATGCCAGCATCGTGCTCAACGTTTTAATCTTAGCATTATGCTCAACATTATGCAGACATAATGTGTCTAACCCTAGTCTGGTGTCCCAACAATTTATGACCGAAACATTGATCTTTACAAAACTTCTTACAGTCTCATTCAGAAGTTAATATAACATTATAGTAACAGTGCATGGTGCAGTGCAGGTGTTCGATTAGAACTGATGAATATTTAACGTTAGTAAACTTGACACGCGACGACGGAAGGAGAGGTAGCGTGATGTTACACTGGACGATTCGCGACGACGATTTTTAGTACAACACATCGTTGCAAAGTTGGACAGCGTCATATCTATTCGAAACAATGTCGCAACAATGTTGCAACGCAGTGTTGGTCTAAACATCGTCGTTGCGAATCGTCTCGTGTAACATCACCTTTAGAACGAGTCAAAATGGCGGCAAAAATTGACCCAGCCTGCGAGCAAGCTGTTCATTTGGAGGAGTAGCGAGAAGTCACGCGTGAGCATCACTCGAAAGGAGACGCTCCTGCCTTTTCGCGTGGCTCGCATAATTGACGCCACACACTTCCGTTACTTCCCTCACTTCCGCTCTAAGACAATGACTACTGATTCAACGATCAGCTTGTTTTTAGAACCGTCTTCCTTGATCGAAAAAGCCAGGGCTTAGAGTTCAAATACCCTGAGAAACGAAGAGTAACAAATTCACTTGCTTGCATCAACGTCACAAAAGACGTTGCAAGTTTTTGTTGACCGTTTTACCACACCTTAAGCATGAAGCAAATGGGTTTCAGTAGCCCTTTTAAGAGGGGTCATAATCATATCATTCCAGTGCCTAAGCTCCGAGCCAAATGATTCAAGGCCCAGAGTAATGTAGCCAATTCTGTTTGTTTTCTTTACTGTATCACCTCGGTAGACTTCACACATTATGCTTGAGTGTTTTAGTTCTTCATCCTTCATATCAAAGACAAAGGCTTCATTGAAGACTGGTGAAGTGGATTTTTTAACAACTTTGGTCTTTTTGCGTTCAACGACTTTCCGTTGGACATAGTAGAGTACTCTAACAAAAGTATCTGAAAAAAACAAAATACAAGGGTGCCTGCAATGAGCGTGCCATAACGCATCAAAATGCGGAAACAAAACTTGCCTTTTTGAGCATCAGTAAAATACCTCTTCAAAAATGATAAAGAAACCGGGTCGAGTTACCTTTCGCAAAGACTTCTGGAAATGTTACTAAGGACAGGGGGAAAAAGTTGACCAATAGCTGACCGTCGTGTCCCCAGTAGCGATCCCAGAAACACTAGCGGGACATATTTCGGCTGCAATTTCCTCGGCGAAATGTCATTAACGTTGGGCTGTCCCCGAGAGGCGAGATCACTCATCGGGGACTTGATTAATAATGGCACGCATTCGTTGTTTACTGCAAATCGTGCATGCAGCTGAAACACAGTCAAACTTACATGTTCGATTACCTCTCATAAGCGACAAGCTCTTCAAAATCTCAAATATATCTTTTCCAGTCAAAGCATTAAAGTTGAAACCCCTCAAACGCGACTTCTCTTACCTCCCTTTCGTAAACAAGCGATGCCATTTTCAACTTTGGAAACCAGGTCTTAAGTCGTGGTAGATGTAATTTATATTCTGAATTAGCCTGTGCTAGGCTCTCTGTCAATGGAGACGAACAAAAAAGGCGGGCGAGCAATGGAAAATCAAACGAGCGAAAAACGGCGGGAAAAGTGAACATCTCTCCCCAGCTCCCCAGCGGTTTTCGCACAACTTTTGTCGATGCGCTTTCCGCACTATCTTAGAGTTGGAACAGGCTAATCCTGAATTATGTTACTAGGCAAAAAATACATTTTTAAATAGTCTTATTGTCCTGAAGGTTTCTCTCATGGGTCTGGGAAGGGGACAGGATATCAACTGGCTGGGGCAGTTAGCAGTAGCGAATAATATAGACCAAGTACTTTTTACAGGGGACGTAAGAAGTTGCGAAAGGGGTTTGGCCGAATAGAAAGTTATGTTACCAAGTCCGCCAGGCGCCTCTGCCTTTAGAGGGGGAAGTCCTGTCGCTTTTAGAATGATGACGTGCAAGTGGCCAGTGGACGGCTGTTGGCACAAAGAAACCATCAAGGAGCCTCGGTTTTCCGACTGAAAGAAAAAAAGAGAGTGGGAAATTAATATAATATAATGGTATGGCACCATTATATATCACGGAATTACTTAGTTATCGTACATGTTCACGTACGCTACGCTCTACTGATCAAAAACATCTGGCAGTTCCGAAGTCAAGACTTAAAACATACGGAGACAGGGCCTTTTCCGTTGCTGCACCTAAACTCTGGAATGAGCTGCCATTAGATCTTAGAAGTTTAGCTACAATTAATTTATTCAAGAAACACTTAAAGACTGATCTTTTTAAAAAAGCATATAATGTTTAACTTTTTGATAATTTAGAATAGGATTTATTGTGATATTTTTATAAATAAGACTGCTAATAGGTTTTTAATTTATTCATATTTTATTACCAGTGGGATCTTTTTAATTACTTTAATATTATGAATTGTAAAGCGCTTTGGTCAATTAGTGGAGTTAGCGCTATATAAATTATGTTATGTTATGTTGTTAAATTTTGTAGAAAATATTAAGCCAAGAACAGTAAAAGGGTAAAAATGGACGTTTCGTAGAGGCCATTTTAACACTAATGTTTTAGTCCTTCCGTTGTTCTTGGAGACAGTTTAAGCTGGCGAAACTTGTGGAGAGGCTAGGCGATGCATTTCTCAAATTTAAGCGCATGCATGTCAGAACGAAATATATTTCTGTGAGCGAAAACTAGATATGAGCTTAGCCGGTAGCCGACATTTCGCCACGCAAACTCTGGTTTCCCAAAGGAATGACGTCTGAGGAACGAGCCGCAGACATTCCACACCGATGACGCGTCACTATCCAGATCTGGGCAATGATCCTGACTGGATGAATCAAACTTTCTACCAATCAGAAGCACTATTTAGATTTGGGTAGTGTCGTGTCATCATGCAGTATGGAATTTCAGCAGAGGTTCCTCAAACGTCATTTTGCGGGTAAACCAATGATGGCGTCGCGAAATGTCGGCGTTTTTCTTAGGCTAAGATGAACTGAATCCGCAGGAAGAGTTGGAGAGGTTGCACTAGAGATAGACTCGATTTCCACGGAACGCGGGCTCATTTCCCGAACAGCGGTTGGTAATCAAGCCTACAATAGAGACGATGGTTCGATGTTGTGTCGAGGTGCACTATGGGACTATTTTGGGGAACAAATATTGGTCCAGTTTTCTGCGCAACGTTGTAGCAATAGCCAATAACAGAAACGATAACGGCGCCATTTCCACAGAAATGGAAATCAAGCATCAGAAAAATTGGAAGAATTCCGAACTCCACATCACGAGAATCGAACTTACGACCCTTGTTTTACCGTTGAGGCTCAATGGTGAGCTGGGTCAAAATGTAATTATATCAAATTACACACCAGCCAAAGCGAACCGCACATTATAAAAAACGTTGTAATAGAACTCATTGCAAGGGCAATGATCGTGACGTCGTGACAGGCGAACTGTATACTGTACTTACGTCATCAATAGTCTTGGAGTTTAAGTGGCGTGACAACTTTGCTCCTTCAACCAAGTCAATCTCCAATAGTGACAGCGTCACCTCGGCGACGAATTCACTTCGAGAAAATTTGTCGTAGTCAAGAACAACGAACTTCAGAGTGCAACTATAAAGAAAAGAAAACATCCGTTAAACAGCTTAATTTGTATTGGGTGGAGAACAGAATAGGAAACAATTGGACGAATAAGGAGCCTCTCTCTTACTTGCCCTCGTCCGATTTCCCCTGCTTGCGCTTGATATTACGAGCCAAGGCCCTTTAATTTGCCATTCTCTTTCCCAGAGCTGTGATCCTTTTGACCAGCGCCACGAACGGTTGTCCACGGATCGAGAGTTTTGGAGACGGAAGTCCGCAAATCATAGACTTCCAGCTTTTTGCGCTGTCTCAGAAATTTAAAATCATACTGGTTTTCAACAGTTTCAAAAAGGGTAAACTATTACGCTTGCCAATTATCCTGGTCCCAGCCAGACCTCTCGATCTGTGGCACTGTACAAAAGGATCGCAGCTCTGAGATTGCTTGTATAAAGCCGCACCCCCCTTGAAGAAAATCGCGGCGAGGGACGATTGAAGGGACGGGCGGCTGTACACAGGCTACTCTAAAAACTTTTTGGCAAATTTAGAATACGTCCTGAGTCCCAGAAACCTGTCAGCAAAACCTACGAAAGTTAAAATGGTATTTTTGCACTTCTAATGACATTTCGGTCCCTTTTGACGTATATCATATTATAATTCGAATTTGTTCCCGTCAGAGAGGAGCTTCCACTTTCGCGGGAAAAAAGTGCCCTAAAATGTTTCTAAAAATAAGCCGGTCCAGGGGGTTCCTAGGGGACGAAAATGTTAATTTGGAGGATAATGTACCTCTTAGGGTACGTCACACGATGACGAAAGGCTTTTCGTGCCGCCAGGAAAAGCTTTTCGGTATCGTCTGAACAGCAGCCCCCGAGACCGACACAAGTCGTTCACGCACATCGAATATCGTGCCGGAGCGGTAGGCCGCGAGAGCTGAATATTTACTTCCGTTTCAGTGGTTTCCGGTTCTGGTTCCTGCTTTTTTACTTCCGCGACGGCCGAATAGGTGTTCACATTGCACCAAAGTGTGGCACAGAAGCCCTATGAAGTATGATTTTTAGGCCGGCGAAAAAGCTATCGAGTCTAATGTCAGCATAGCCTTACTTCCGTGCTTCTTCCAATGTCAGCTGATCGAACATGCAAATGCGGTTGGTTGAAAGATTCAGGAAACTCGACCTGGGTTCCTTATTGCGATCTCCAGGCAACAGGTGAACGCGAACATACGGGGTAGAGACCCCTGATAGACGTACATGCGGCAGATCAAACGCCCCGTTGACCTATAAAAGAGCGGCAAACGATGAGGAAATGGCATGACAGTCCTAGAGTTATATTGCATTTTTAAAAATAGGGAAAAATAATAGTAACACAATCAATACTGGCCTGCGAACGCAGACAATTTTCAGGTCCTCCCAGCTTCTCTCCACCCGAAAAGTACTTAAAAGGTGGGTGTTTTCGAATGGGTGAAGCGACGACAGGAAATACGCTTGTGTTCAAAGTCTTAGTCAATATATCATAGATACTCCATTTAAATGCCTAGATATATAAGTAAAATTGATTCTGCATTCAGTTTAAATTATGAAGTGAATAATAATAATAATAATAATTGATAAATAAACTCGTGACTGAAATCATAAAAATAATAACAATAATTATGGCAACAAAAATGAATCACATTAATAAGCCAAGAACATAATTTTTTAAGTGACTAACTTTGGACACACTTATGCATTTAGCAAAGGAATCCGCAGATGTCTGCAGGCAGCCAACAGATAGGGAAATCAAACTCTTTTAGCTACAGCACAAGAGAACAAAAGTTTCAAATAATAATGGAAGCAAACCTGAACAAACAGAAGATTTTTCTCCGTCATGAACTGTATGGAAACTTCCAGTTTTCCGTATGGTGCCACGGACGCTCTCTTCAGCGGCTCTCGCTTCGGTAGCATAACGTACTGCGACACAGCGCGGCGAAACTGAGGTCGATACTCCTTCGTAGCAATACCTTCTTCGACCGTCCCAGGTTCGACACTTTCTTTATTGCGGGCTATAACAAACCCATGTCTCTGCCCCGGAGGGGTCGAAGGAATAGGCATCGATAAGGATCGTCTAACTGCCAGCGGCGAAACCTTTCCCGTAGGTTCGTCGTTTTCGATTTCTCCGACCTCGCTGCACGGTGTTGTTGTACCCTCGCTTCCAGTTCCTTCAGAGATCAACTTATATGGCGGGATAGTAAACTCTGGCGGCTCTTTTGTCGTTATGTAAGCCCCAAATTGTCGTTCTATTTTAGGACCATTTAACGTCTTCAAATATCGTCTCAAGAAAACAATCCCCATGATCGCAAGAAGCAGCAGAAAAGTTAAAATTCCGAGTCCAACCGAAGCGGCAAAAGGTAAAGATTTCATATCTCCCGCCTTCTTTACTTGTCCGTTGAAAATTGATACTCGCACCAGAAAAAATCAGGAAAACTGAATCTCTGTAAGACCACATAAATTTCACTCACCAGTGTCGATGCATAAAAATTGATACTACCTTCAAGACAAACCATAAGTCTACTACACCACCGATCAAGCCGCGCCGATCTGAGTTCCTATTATCATTTTGAATCCTGTTGCTGTGATTTGTAACGATTTCAACTGATGATCGATAAACAGAAGCGTTCAAATATTGGCCTTGACGCCTTTTGTAGACTCTTTCTCGCCTATACAGTAATTCCGAAACAATCCAAAACCGTGGAATAGTGTCTGATACAGATTAATCAAAATTTTGAGGAGCTGAGGAATAACATTTTAGGGGTCGCCTTTCCCCTCATGTCATCAACACTTCGCTACTCGTAATCCTTGATCACGACAGGAGGTTTCGTGTTGTGTATTGATAAGGTATCTGGTTGCTACCACTTCCTGTACCTGTACATGAGGTAACGCAACAGAGTAACGCGAGTAACGTGGCCTGCTAGCAATCTCCTGTTATCTCCTCTTTTCCGATCTTTTTCAAGAACACAAAATGGCCCCGGTTAGCTTGCTTGTCAGCGTAAGTGGGAAAAAAACGAACTCCACTCGTTTTAAAAACAGCAGTTATACTGACTCAAACACAGGGTATGTGCCGCTGGCCTCTCAGAGCCCCTACCCCATTATAGTCTATTCTTTGGCCAATTATAGACCCCATCTTAGTCACTTTTGGGCAAACATGAAATTTTCGCGATCCCAACTTAGTCACTTTCTATTTTTATGAATTGACCCATTTTTTTAGATTGAATGAAGAACACGTTACTTTTCGTCTACAGTACAAACATTCTGGTACGTTCGCTAACCGTAAATATGATGTGCGTTCCCTTTCTAGTAACTCTATTGAAAATGCGACCCCATTATAGTCAACCCAGTCGTGAAAATGCGACCCCATCCAGCGGCACATCCCCATTAGCCTGTTATAAGGAAGTACCCTCCCCCCAGGACTTAAACTAACTGTAGGTAGAAAACGAGGACCTAAGACCTAAGACCTAAGACCCAAAAACAGCCCTCTCAAAATCACTTATAAATAGCTATAAACGGCTATATTGACCTGGGATGTGTAGGAAACAACAAGATCGTCAATTATCAATGAATTTGACCCGTTTCTAGCTTTTTATAAGTGATTTTGAGGGAGGTTTTCGTTTTTGAGTCTTAGGTCTTCGTTTTCTCAGTATCCTAAAACTAAAGATGCTCGTGCAAACGAGCCTCGAAAATGAGTAGCACATATTCGTGGGGGGCCGCACAAATACAGAACTACTTTTATTAGCTGACTTATCCCTGGTTGGCCCGTTTTATGGCAGCGTTACTTTTTTAAACTTTTCAGACTTAAAAACACTTTACGGCCACTTTATGTTCTCATACGTGTGACACGATATTGTTCGATATTACTGTACTGTATTGCATTTTGTGTATTGCGTGTACAATACAATTATACAGTGTCGGAAATACCCATACGATAGAATACAGTACACAGTACAGTATTAACCAAGAGAGACACACAACAGCCTTTTACAGTTTTCGAACTTACGGTAATCTGAAACAATAGAGTTTTTTCTTTTAAAGTCTTAGGGATTACCCTACAAAGTAATTACAGATTTAATCAGCAGGAAACCAGTAAGTGCAGTGCCAATATAGGAGAGGCGGATCGCGCGCTGTTCAGGAAGATCTCCAGCATGTCCGGCCACCATTTGCATACTTTCCTTCCCAAAACCCAAAAAATTAAAGTTCTGTGCGCCTCCGAGTTCCTAGCAGTCAACTCCGGAGAATCATTATACACCCAGTGCTTTAAAAACAATTTTATCAATAGGCTCTTTTTAAAATCAGTACAAAGTAGTAATTTAATGTAAAACTTGTTTATAATGTTAATGTTAATATTTCATGCGGAATTGTTTTTTATTCTTTAACTTTCAGCTCAGTTTTTTATTGCTTTTAACTGTACGTTTTCTTAGTTTTTTCATGAATTTTCGCTTAAAACATAATTAGGACCTTAAGACATTAAAGAGGGAAGATACAAAAATAGAGGAAAAAAAGCAAAATATTGAAGTAAATATAATATAAACTTAAAATACAATCATGATATTGTGCCTCAAAATAACAAAATTCAAAATAAATATAGGATAATGAATATTTTCGAAAGCACGTAATTTGAATGTATAAGTTGGTGGACAAAAATTTCAAATATGTATATAAAAAAATAACAATGGAGGGGTGGTTGGCAATACGAAAAACAGTTACAAGTAATGGAAGAGTGGTAATTGTAACACAATAGATCTTCCAAGAAAATGTTCAGTTGATGTTAGGAGGAGTAAGAAAAACAGACTACTTCTTTTAGACTTAAGGGAGAGAGGGGAAGATTTTTAAAGAGATTTGGATGTTGGCAAAGAGGAAGCGGTAGAAACCCCACAGGTCGGAACTAAGATCATTACGAAAAGTTTATCAGCAGTTTTCTGACAGTCGTCCACTGTGCGCTTATCACAGCCTCGTCCGCCAGGGTCCTCTCGTTTTCCAATATGGCTTCTTTTAAAAGATCTTAAAAGGCTCGGAGCCATTCCTGTAATTGACGGCTAGAGGAGATTTAGAGAACGGGTCTTCTCTAATGTCGCCGCCATATTGGAAAGCGAGGAGACCCTGGGGACGAGGTTTCTTTTTTCAGGCACCGACGGGCACCATAAGATCATAAAGAAAGAATTTAAGACGATCCAAAGGTCCACGTGAACTACAGAGGCGGGGGGGGGGGGGGGGGGGGGGAATAGAATTATTTTTAAGTATGGAGGTAGTACAAGGAAAAAGAGGTTGTGGGGGAAAACAATAGAAAGTAAAGTATATATAGCACAAGAAGAAAAAAAAAATTTTTAAAACCAGAATTCATACTTGTCTTTAAGGCGTGTCTGGCGACGCACGCCTGACGAGGAGGGAGGGGAGGGAGCGGCGGGTGGGGGGTCTTTTGTGCTTGCTAGCGCGAAGAGAACGAAAAAAAATACAAACAAAAGAAAAAAAAGAAGACCCAGGGGGGGCAGGGAGGGGGGGGGGGGGGGGGGGGGGGGGGGGGGGTTAAATCTATTTTTGAGGCATTTGGAAGCACTCAAATTCAGAGTACGTTAGGTGAAAAGAAGAGTCAGAAAGTTTACAATAAGCCGAGATCAAAAACGGGAATTTCAGTTCAAAATTTTCAACTGTATAATCTTTACAAACGATAAACTGTTTCTTTTTGGCGTGGCTGATTCGCCAACCTGTCCTCTCTGCCAAACTGAAGTTGAATCCATCGAGCATTTACTCTCGACTTTTCCTGTAAAGTATCATCCGATTTTTGGAAGCGTGTCTTGTCCTGAAACGAGGGCTGCCAGTTTATGAAATCTTTGCTGAAAACATTACAGAAGATGTCATTTTTGGTAAGTTCGCTGTTGGAGAAGATTTTCTCTCGTTTAATCACATTTTGCTTTTGGGTAAGTTTAATATTTATTCTCAGAAATGCTAGAATTCTATTTCTTCTCTTCAGGGTTTCATATCCAGGACAAGGCATATCAAAGGCGTATTTATAATATCGAAATCTAGATTCCTGGGAAAAGAGAAAAATTAGACAATCGCTTTAAAAAGTAGGAAAAATTAATTAACGTCGTTTCCAATAAGTGATGTTAAGATTATTTTCCGATTGTTTGTGTTAAGTTTAAAGTGTAGTGAGTGTCATGAGTGAGTGTATAGAAGGTTATAAACGGGGACACTGTATTGCTGTATTAGCTTTTGTGTGTGTTTGATTTTGAAGCCTGCGTAGCTGGCGGGATTCTTGTGCCCGGGAAACTTTTTTGGCGGCGGAGCTGCCATGAGAAATGAACGGCTTCGCCGCGAGGGAAAATCCTAATTGACTTCAAATTGACTTGTATACCCACCCCAGTCCCGGCTCCGCCGTCGAAACAATACAGCACTCCCACGCTTATCCCGCCAGCTAGGCAGGCTATTGATTTTGTACTTATCGTCGGGTAGCCTGAGAAAACAAACGACATCTCGCGACGCTACTGGTGGTTTCCCCGCGAAAAAACGTCTTCGCGGGGAAACCACCTGTAGCGTCGCGAAATGTCGTCTGTTTTCTCAGGCTAATTGTCACAGTAATATGTAAGCGTGATTTTCTTTTTATCTTTTTTTCTCCCCTTACTTTTATTTTGTATGTAAACTTAAGTAATTCTTTGATAAAATATTAACAAAAAAAAAAATACAGGCCGGGATGTAATTCTAGTGAGGATAAGGAAATAGACGCCTAAGAGAAGTCGCCGGAATAAATGGCTGAAGCTGGCTGATATATATGCCCAGCACGCTTCTGGAGACGAAGGAGTCGTAACAGGAGATGGTGGCAGCAACCCCAGACAGCAGGGGCCCAGTTGTTTGAAGGCCGATTAGCGCCTAACCCGGGGTTAAATTTAACCCGGGCTTTTTTTTCTTGTGTTCAAAAGCATTTTCTCGGATAATTTCCTCTGTTATTTTTAGAGCTTCCAATCATCAACTTGTAGACAAAAAGAATTAAAACTGAAATGCTTTTTAAGCCTTCAAATCTGAATTCAAATCTCCCACTAACCCTGGGTTATCTTAACCCAGCTTTGAACAACTCGGCCCAGAACAATAAATAAATTAGTTGTGAACACGTGAGTTATAAAATCGTAAAGAAGAGTTGAAATTAAGGTAAGGTTTGGTACGATGAGTGAGAGAAGCAGAGGCGATATGTGGTGCTCCTACGATAGGCCATTGTCTAAAAGAACTACGTTAAGAAATTTGGCAAAGTCCACTTGTTCAATAGATCTATAATCAATTTAGACCGATGCACTTCCAGCTGGAACTGTGTTTCTCTACATGTAGAGTCGTTATATTGCATTTTGAAGGTAGAGATTGAATTAGTTTTGGTTGTGTTGAGA